TCAGTTTGTAAACAATGCAAGAAAATAAAAAACTCAAGTTGTAAACAATGAACTTTTAATTCATCAACTTACACCATAATCTAGCTTAAACTTTTTGATTCATAGAAAGCCTAAATTGCAAAGATTAACATATGATAACCTCTTAAATGTGACAATCTGCTGCGAGATGCCAAAAAAAAAAAGTCAATTTTGATTTCATACGGCTAGATTATAGAGTTTTAGACAAATTACTACTACCCAAATTGAGAATTTTAGGTTTTGTATTTTTATTTTTTTCACACAACATACAAATTGTAAAGAAAAAAATAATGTAAAAAATCAATTCCATTTAGTTACACATGGTTTCGGTTCAAGAACAAAGAAGTGATCCGAATCCAGTAGATTTTCGCTTCCAATTCCTTTTTTCTTTAAATCGAACCAGAACCTCCAATTTTGATTTAGGAAGTTCAGTTCTGATTAAAATGCTCAAGCCTAGCGAGAACAAAAGAATACTATTTTCTTGGGATCTCTCATAATTTATTTAAGGGTATGTTGACAAATTTTTAAAAAATGCTATTTGTACCATCTCCATTACAACTTGGATGATAGATAGCATTTGTGTAGTTAGAAAAAAAGAAGAAAGAAAAATACCTGCAGCACCATTGAGTTCTGCTACACAAATAGGGTCATTGGTAGATTTAAAAATATGAGGACACGTGTCATAGCATCATTGGACAGTTAGATTTTTTTTTTTTACCCATATAGGTATTGTCAAAGCAACACTTGTCAAAGTCTCTGTTTTTAAGCCCTGATTGAGTAGCATTATTCAGCACCAATCAATGGACAACACGTGTGCTATTCAACTGTATTTTTCATCCAATATGTATGTTTTTTTCTTTTCTGTATAAGTAGCGCGATTGCTTTTGGAAATTTTTTTTTTTTTTAATAAAATTTGATGAATTATGAATTGATAGATATGATTGGTCTAAAAAATGCAAGGTTCAAAGTAATTGACTTAACTTTTTAATTTTTTCCAAACTTATTATCTTGATTAAAAAACGAGCAGGCGATTGCCCTAATCTTAGTGTCAAGGATCGGTCAGGATTCAAAAATGAGTAGACGATTGTACATGCTTTCACCTCTTAGATTAGGTCATGATAAAGATTGATCTTTTATTGCTATATTATTTATTTTCAGCGGTGATTATTTCCTCTTTTTTGTGTGTTGTGTGAATATCAATCTTTTTTTTTTTCACGATGAGCATGGGAGCCTTTCTCATTTCTCTTTTCTGTGATTTTTTTTTTATTTGACTTAAACTATATAAAAGTTTAAAAAAAATTATTAATTCTATAAAAGCTAAGACACTCAGCTACGGCATTAGTTATAAAATCGCATACATGTTGGGATTGTTTAGAAAAAATCCTAAGCCTTGTTTGAGCTCCATTCCGAGAGAAATGTATTTTTGAATAGTGATTTTTAGAGAATGTATTGTTAAAAATTAAGAAAAAAATTCCGATTAACGTGTAATATCATTTTATTGGAGAATGAATGATTGAAAATGAGTTTCGAAAAAAAGAATTTTCAAAGACAAAAATAAGTGTTTTGCTCCAAGTACAGGAGCAAAACCTACAGGGCCTGCAGGTTACTCACACTGGCGGGCCCCACATAACTCACACTGGCGGGCCCCACATGTTTTTAAAAAATGGAAAAAAAAATGCCCCCCTCCATATAAAGCCTACTTGTTTTTGGGCCTTAAAAAAAAGAAAAAAAATACACCCCTCCCGCCTCTATTAGTGGCCAGGCAGTGAACCCTCCCCCTGTACGTGTATCATTGCTCCAAAAATAATCACTAAAAACGCAATGCTGTGAAAATATTGAAAACCTTCATCTATTAATAGTGGCTGATAATCTTCATTGTAGCTATATTCCTGAATAATTTCAGATTATACCTGACATTTCTCAGTAAACTACGCATAGAATCTAACGGTCAAGATTAATCATAGAATCAATTTACATACAATGCTTGATTTAAGCTTTGTACGAGGCTTATTAAGCCAAGACTGTAACGATACAGTTACCCTTTATCTTTCTTGGCGACGCTAATTTCCATTTGGAAACTATAATAATTTTGTATGAATGAGTACAATAATTTGCTAAATCTAAAATTAAAAGAAAAGAATAAAACCTCTGCCCCAACAATACAAAAGTAGAACAAATCTGTATTATCTCATCGTTCTTGTAGGATTTGTATGAGATTAACTGCGTATACGACCCAATTCGTAGCTGTAACATAGCAACCTGCAAAAGGAATTAGTCTAAGAAAATCGTAACTCTATAATCCCATAAATAGGAAGCAAATAAAAGGTAATAACAACACAATTCCATGGAAGATCCAGATACCTAGTTAAGAAAAGATGCACGTTATATATATATATATAGTCAAGAAAATACGTTGATGTGATGCAAAATTTTTAACATAACCCGAACATTGCATGATCCACAAGATACCTAGTTAAGGCAGACATCAAAGTCTAATTACCGACTTTAATGCACAACCTTTTGTGCTTCTCCAGACTAAAGCTATAATTTAACAGCTAAGTCAACCAAACTTTCTCCAATTTGGATCATTGTCAGTGAGCCTCATCATAAGTGATCATCCTATAAGATTTACTAAGTTTATTGCAAGTAATTTCTTTATGCAACATCTACAGGATGAAGATTTCCAACATAGTAAGGACAGTAGAAATTTTTCTTCGGCCATTCCATGTATTCGAAGTTACTTTCTTGCTTCAAAAGGATATAGCATTTCAGGTCACATAGTGCTTTCATCACAAACACAGCAGACCCAAAAACATCAAGCAAAGATTAGTGTTCTTTCATCCATTGTCATCAAATCGAACAAACTAATGAAAGCACAGGAAAGGGCATGGAGAAGTTATTCAGGGGACAAATAAGTATATTTGCTCATGTCAATTAACAGTGTTTCAAATGCTTCGAGATTTGATAATATAAGGAGATTGTGTGTTTGGTGTCATAAATTCTTGGTTCCTGGTTGAACTGAGTCACTGACTATAATACGAGGGGTTGTAGTGTAAATTTTTTCAAATTAATATTCTCTAGACAACTTATATTTGAAGTCAGCAAACAGAAATCAGAAAGGCGCGAACTGTTAATATACAACCCAGAAACAAATAAAAATCCTAGAATACTCTAAACTAAAAAAAATTAAAAAAGAAAAAAAAAATAATAATAATAATAAAAAAAAAAAAAAAAA